GGTATCGGAGTATCGCGCATGATCAGCGCGGTAGCAGACAACCTGGCAGATTCCAAGGGACTCAACTGGCCCCGGGCGATCGCTCCCTACGAAGTCATCGTCGTCCCTGGTAAGGGATTGGAAGAGGAAGCAGAGAAAATATACGACGCGCTCACCTCAGAGCCCACCACTGCCTTGGACGTCATCCTGGACGACCGCGATAAGCAGATGGGCTGGAAGCTGGGAGACGCAGATCTTATTGGGTACCCTGTGATTGTGGTCGTAGGCAAAGGCTGGAAAAAGCAGCGCACCCTGGAAGTGCAGTGTCGGCGACTTGAAGTACGTGAGGATGTTGCCTTGGAGGCTCTGCCGGAGTTTGTGGGTTCTTTACTCAAGAAGCTGTAGGGAACTTCACCCACTCGGGCTGTGTTACGGGCAGGCAATGCAAGCTGCGCCACACTATCACATTGGTAGAATCACTGTACACTATCACTCTTAATTACTAGGTAACTTCCGTTAATATATACCCCTCCATTCCGTTAATTAAGCACCCGCCACTTTGCATCAGCCTAGTCTGTTAATCCCGCCTTGCAGTAGTCACTTTCAATACTGGTGAATCTATTCACACAGTATAAAAAATAGACAAGTAGACTCGATCTCGCTGCAGTATTGCAGCCTGCGCTCATCTCTCATCACCTGAACATTATCACTACTAAAACAAACTCATTCCAGTCCCATTCATTCCACATGCTCAGACACTTGCCATTCCGACCCGAACCAAACCATCAGAAAATGACCATCCACACAAATGCCCGCGTCGGCGTCGCCGTCTTCATCTTCAACGGTCACAACGAATTCATTATCGGCCAGAGAAAAGGCAGTCACGGTGCTGGTATGTACTTACCACCATAATCACTATACCTATTGCCACAGGAACATTATGACTTAAATTATATTCAATCATCGCTACTACTGCTACTCAAATTATCATACTAATATACTCCCAAATTCAGGAACCTGGGCCCTTCCAGGCGGACATCTCGAACTCAACGAGTCATTCGAGACATGCACAGAGCGCGAAATCCTCGAAGAGACAGATCTCAAGGTCCAAGACATCCGTTTCTTAACTGTGACTAACGATATCATGAAAGATGAGGGAAAGCACTACATTACTGTGGTGATGGGGTGTAAGCTTTGTGATGTTGATGCGCAGCCTAAGGTTAGCATCTTCCCCTACCCTTTTTTCTCTCTTTTTCAAATTATTTCAAATCATATACACGTGGTTGGTGTTATAATAAATATATTGTGGTCATGTGGAAATTATTTCTCCCATATTCACTACATAATTTCCATACAGAGGGACATACTAACAGCCAACAGCTCATGGAACCCGAAAAATGCAGCGGCTGGGAATGGACAACCTGGGAACAGCTACGAATGGATTACTATGCTGGAAAGGGTCGTCCTTGGGTTGAGAGAAACTCTCGGAAGTTAACCCCAGCAGCTGCCTACGATGAGGCTGTCTTTTCTGAAAAGGGAGAGATTATTCCTGAGAGTGATTCGATGGAGGTGGATGAAAGTACCGAGAATACTAATCCTCCCACTCGGCAGCTGTTTCTTCCTCTGGTGAATCTTTTTGAGCAGAGGGGTGGCTTCGATCCTGTCGCGGATTTTTGGATTGCAGATTAGGGGAATTGGGTGTAATTGGTCTTTCTTCTTGGACGTTGAGGGGCGCTGATGTCTAGTGATGTGCTGGTGCACGGTTTATTGCGACAGGAATAAAAGAGATTGTGCTTTGTTCGAGTGTAATTTGGCCGGCTTGATGAGTAGCTAATCCAAAGGGATGTCCCGATATTCTGGATAATAATGCTCATAAATGACAACGGTGGTGACAGTGCCTCAGACATCATTTCTATGAATGACCCGTCCTTAATGAGTGGGAGGCTGTCAACCTCAATTTCTCCACAATGATAGACGTTCTTTCTTCGGTAGAGACAATACAGTCCAATATTTCTTTCCAGCTTGTCTTCTCACATTTACTAGAATAGCTGGACATGCCAGGGAAATTTTCACTATACTGGAAGATTCCTGTACAAGTTGAGAAGGGGAAAGAAAAGTCCAAGCCTTTAATGTAGAACTATGCAGCATCGATAAGTACCGCCTTAGCTTGCATATCTCGAGATATGAGGTCCGTGTATGGGCGCAATATCGGATATCAACATCAAATCCCCTGTTCGATGGCACTTGCCCTATCAAGCAGGGTCCATCACATGCCACTGTTCTATAAAGACCAGAAAGTGCCCTTCCCTCTTTTTGTCTCTAGAATAAAGTTATTTGTTCAATCTCACACAACTCGAACGCCATCGACCCAATGGCTCTCGCCATTTTGTTGAAGATAAATCCCATAAACCTGGGCAGATTCCGTATCATCTACATGACCTATCTGGATCTACGAAAATAGACTCATTAGCAAATCCGAACACAAATCAAGAGCTGAAACAGTCTGGGATATACCTGTAAGTACTATACAGGGTATCTTTATCCACCTCTTTATGACTATCACAATACACACCTGCTAGAGTTATAAAACACCCACACCCAACTTCTCAACCATATGTACAGAACATACCAACTTTCGTATCCAACAGCAACACACAATCCTTCAACATGGGAATCGAACTAACCTCACCCGAAGGCAGCCGTCCTGCATCACCCGTCCTCGAATGTACACTCACTGCAAAGGCAGAAGCGAGCCTCGCCGAGAATTGTCTCACATATAAGATCTCGGAACATTTCCGTGATGCCCTTGGAGCCATGTACAGCTTAGTGGTTTACGATAAGTTCGGTGTGAACAAGTTGTCTCTTGCAAAAGTCCGACGATTTGGAGTTGTTGAGCGTCAGCTGAATTACTATCTGGAGAGGTATCCAATCGAAGATGATGGTGAGTACATTCAATTTCACGAGTCTTTTAACGCCTCGTGCATACATATCCCAAGCTTTTAACTGACTCTTGTAATTTTATAGACGACCTCGCAATAATGCGAAATGACTTGCAAACCATAGCCTATTCTTATGAGCCGTGATGATTTGACTTTGCACTGAAATTGCAGATTCAAGCTGTCGTTCGTGATGTACTATCTATACTTATCTTCACGAAGCTTTTGTCTGACTGTGGGATGACCGTCGGCAATGTTACTGGTTATTAGATATGCTGTGCTGCCTATGGCCCTGATTATCTATACAAAAATTTTGGATATAGAGAAGAGATACACAGGCAGAATATGAATACACGCGTTGCTTGGTGCAGAACAATTTGCGACTGCCATTTGTAGAGCTACCTTGTGAACACTCTATACCTTCAGTATCACATAGGATACGGTCCCCACGCCCGACCAAACAACACACAAACTCAACAATGTAAATCTCATACACTTTAATATCTCTATAGCACTTCCATCATTAACTAAATATTATATACCCCGATAAAGCATCCACATAACCCTCATTCACACTCCAACAGTTAACCAACAAATATAGGGCTGCACCCAACCACCCGCTGACTAACCCACCCAGCACAACCCACCACTTATGCACTCTATGCATCCCCCATCCCCACCATTACACTCGACTTGACCGCGGGCCACCCTCAAAGCTCAAAAGCCAGCATCACCACCACCACCACTACCATACGACCCAGTACGTAAGTACAGCACGAACCCACCCACAACCTTCTTCCCTCACAACCTCATATCCAAATCCCCCAATCCAACCATCTAACCACCATCTCACACAGACCAAACCAAAACCAAAAATGCCACCCCCCAACACCCCCGCATCATCCGACTCCCCCCCTCCGGGCTCAGGTACGCATCTCTCCCCAAAGCCGCCCACACCCCCCTAACAAACCACACTCCAGTGAACATAAACTCCCTCTCCGTCCCCCAACTCCGCGCGCTCCAAACCCGCCTATCCTCCGAACTCGAACACCTGACGACCTCGCACGCGAAGCTTCGCGCCGCGCAACTCAAATTCAAAGATTGCGTGCGCTCCATCAACGAAGGTGTAATTGGGTCTCAGAAGAAGGGCACCGACGGAAAGGAGGATATCCTGGTGCCGTTGACGAGTTCGTTGTATGTGAAGGGGAAGTTGGCGGATCGGGAGAAGGTGCTTGTTGATGTCGGGACGGGGTTTTATGTTGAGAAGGTGAGATACAGATACCCTTTGTTTTAAAGTGACTAGGTTGTTGGTTGTTGGTTGTTGGGGGAGGAGGTGTGTGTGTGTGTGTGTGTGTGTGTGTGTGTGTGTGTGAGGCTAATGCGTTTGGATTGTTTAGACTGCCGCCAAAGCTATCGAGTTCTATGAAAATAAGGTCAAGGAGCTGGAGACGAATCTTACGGAGTTGGAGAAGATTGTGCAGACGAAGAGTCAGCAGCAGAGGTTGTTTGAGGATGGTAAGCCATGTTTTTCTTTCCCTTTCAGTTGAGTGCATTTGGGTTTGGTTCGTATTAAACTAATGATTGCTTCTAGCTTTGAGACAGAAGTTGCTGGCTGAGGGTGCTGGGTCTGCTGCTACTGCCTCTGCGGGTGCCGGTTGAGTAGATCTGGACTTGTAACAAAGGAGATTGTGTGGCCTCGGGATGAATGTATAGTCGGAATGAACTACGACTGGGACTGTTACACCCTAGTAAGGACGCATTGGAACAGACCTGTCTGATGTCACCCAAGCCGCGGGTTGCAAGAGACAGGTCCGCTACGAGCACGCCAGCTCCATTGAAGGAACTCCACGGTCACCTGCAATTCAGAAGGACATAAGACTTGGCTGACATTCTGGAGGTGGTAATATTAAAAACTGGCAATCTGGAGCTGGATCTAGAGCAATGCACAACACAATACCATATTAACGAACCCCTCCGCCTCCATCTGCCCTTATCTCCCCCCACGCCGCCGTAGTCCTGCGTGTTGTCGACACGCCAAGGAAGTCTCGGTCTGACACCACCCCGGACCTTGTCGCCTCATCGAGACTAGAACAAGGTGCCGAGGTCTGCATTGAGCAGTCCAGCCAGATCGGTCATGCCCATGACCGGCGACGAGTCGCTCGATCGGTCCTGAACCGTCGTGGGCTTGACGCTCATGGCAGAATTGGCCCCAAGCCGAGACTTCTCTCCAGAAGAGGTTGCGGTGGTCCGTACAGGACCCATTAGTCCCGCAACCTGCTTCACCGTGTCGACAAACGCCCAGAACCCTTGGCTTTTCTCCGAATTGCCCCCTGCCCCTCTTGCCGGGAAAAAGCTCTCCAGACTTGAGTCATACTGAGCAGCATGCCCGATAGCCAAATTGGCATGCTCACCCAAGAGATTGTCCCAGTGAGGGTCGAACAATGATGCGCCCCAAGAAGTATTAGGCTCCGTGGTGAATGGGCCCGCATAACTAGCAGGCAGCTTATTGGACAACGCTGACGCATTTGCACGGCTATACTCATCGTAGCGAGCAATCTCTAGGGTATAGTTGGTCCCTTTGATTTTGTAACGAATGGCGGACTTCTCGATAAATCTAGCCACCGGCGCGGATTGAGAGAATTCGACCTTTCTCTCAGGCTTGGCCGAAATATCGTGCATCGTAGCGGTGCTTCTGAACTTAATAGTGCCTGCAAAATCTCTCAATGCAGCATCAATCGAACTGGCCTGGTAAAATTCGAGAGACTTCAACTCGAGCTGCCAGTCAGACTTTTCGAAGTCAACGACGGCTACCTGCAGGGGTGGGCGTTTGTCGCGAGATTGGCCGTCCTGACGGGGTTTAAGCCACCTTCGCTGGGTGGTCTCGTATTCTGATGCACCGGGGCTCCTGGTGAACTCTGCCTCCAGTCGAAGCATGGAGTTGCTCTGGCCTAAGAACTCAAAATTCACTGAAAATGCAGGCTCGGCGCTGCTCAGCGATTGTGCCGTGCTGAGGTATGGCTGAAGCAGATGGGTAGCCTGGTAACATCTGGCAAGAAGTTCGTCTTTATGGACCTTGAGGCTGTAGGGATGACGAATGATCAGTGACATCGCCACAAACACAACGAAGCGGAGCTTACCCTGGTATCAAGCGTCCCTTAGTCTGCTCGTGCAGTATCATCTCTCTGAACTCTTCCAGAACATAGTATGGTTTGTCGTCCGCCGGAATACGGTACTGGTCGAGTACAAACGAGCCGAGATTGACCCGCATACGCAAGTGCCCACGAACAACGACCACGCCCTTCAGACATCTCTCAACCATGCTCAGGAGCCGGGCATTATTCTTTGACTGAATCAGACTCGCTCGATCGGGCCACCGTTGCGCCTCAGAGCCCTGGAGTGGGGTCCCACGAAGCAATGGCCTCGCTAGGCGGGCGTCTTTCTTCACGACAATCCTATTTTTCATGACAGTTGGGGGCTCGACGAGGTAGAGTTTGCCTTTCACAACATAGTTGGCAACAACCTCAGTCCACTTTGTTCTGAGGCGTCGGACGATCTGTCTCATGGCCTCATCGTTGTGCCCCATAGCACAGATATGATTAGGGAGATCTTTTGGAACAAAGACGTGACAATTGAACTTGACCCGTATGTTATCGAGGGCCTCGAGCTGCGGACCTAGGGAGTCAACAATGGAAGGACCCTCTTTGGGCCACAAGAAGAGCATCTACAAGGAAGTGTCAGTCAGGCGGTCGAAGAAGTATGTAAACGGGTAAGCTGGGTTTTACTCACAAGGTCCGAAAACTCGGAAGAAGAATCCGGTTGCTTTTGCAGTACCTGGAGTCTGGCATTGTATTTCTCCTTCAACTCCACGCGAGCTTCTTTACTGACTGAATGCGCCATAATCTTCTCCCAAACTACCTTCTTCTTGCTCGCATTGTTGCACTTTGCAACGATAGTGAGAATGATGTCTTTTGCAGCTGCAACCTGAAACGGCTCGCCCCATAGGCAGATGGTCTATCTCCGTCAGTGTGCGCCTTGGTGGAGGCAAAGGAGCTTACATTGTCGTTATAGAAGGGCGGCTTTATGAAGGCACCTGTACGTCGGCTAATCTCTTCAAAGACCTCATAGCGGCCATGCGCCCCCGGTGGCTTCCTGATCGAGCCGCTCAATCTTGCAACGCCGAAGAATCTGTTGCAGCTTTAGCACATTTGAATAATGACATAGAAGGCATATGCATACTCATTTTTGAAGGTCCCAAAAGGCGCGGGTAGTTTGACGAGGCCTGTAATTTTATTAGCGACTTTTGAATCACATCGCAGGATCGGATCTTACCCGTAGGCTCCAGCTTGCCTCTCCACTTAGATTTCGCAGGTGAGTCTCCAAAAAGATTTGGTTTAGGAGATACCCCGCTTGAGCATCCAATCCGTCCGCGATAGCCTCCACGGCCTCGTGCTGGTCGTGGGACAACTGCGGGGCGCACCGGCGTGCTGGAAGTGCCTTTATTGGCAGGTGCAGCTGGGGGCTGTTTGGGAAACTCATCCGAAGTGGCTTTGGGAGATTCTGGTATAGCTTGATCAGTTCCGGTCTTTGCTGTTGCTTGGGATGGATAGTAACCTTGCTTTCCGTAGCCCGGAAGCGTCCATTCTAGAACACACAGAGATCAGTTATACGCAACTAAGGAATAAGTAATCAAAACGAGAACGAAGACAATAGCTACCCTGGGCTCCGGAGCACTCGAAGCTATTTGCGGTTAGCCAGTGTCTGTCACACTAGATTCTGGGACTTACTCGACGCGATTTTGTGAAGCCATTGTGAACCGCGTAAACTTATTTATCAACACTAGACTCGAAGATCACGGAAGGATCTAAACTGCAGCTAACACAGCGCTGGTGAGGATTTGGAGAAGTTGATCGAGAGAAAGGGGAAATGGCAGGATTAATGAAAGGGAGTGGTAGTGACGGTAGAGTTGATGGTGAAGAGACAGTGCGAGGACGGTGAAAGCGAAAGAGAGACCGGAGTGAAAACGGTGGGATGGTTAAGTTTACCGAGAAACACTCACTTGCTGGCAGGAAGAACCCGGTGAATTCTTTCAAGAATCCGTTTTGCATTAGAGACAAATCTACAAGCAAACCACGAGGATCCAATTCCTGGAGCAGCTTCTTACTGGGAAGGAGCAGGTCAAGTGAAGGCAGTTGAGGTAATATCGCTTCATTCTCTACAACGAGAGTCACGTAAGAAACCTGTGAAGCTGTCTGAAATGATTAACAGCAGCAGGAGTCAAGTGTATCAGAGTGGAATTGGAAAGAGAAGCTGGGGATTTTTAAATATGGTTCAGTTTGTAATGAAGAAGTAGCAAACAAAATGAAGCAAAAAGTACTAGATTTCTGAAATTAGTCATGGACTGCAGCCATACTTTATTACAAGACTTAAAGCTTCTGTTGTAAAACCAGACATTACTGTAAAACCAGACATTACTTAGGCGTACTTAATTCAGTAATAGATAAAGTAGTACTGGAGTGGTGGTTTGTATGGCGTTTGCTATACGGGCACATTTGAAGTATACTACGGGAGGCAATACCCGCTGCCATTGGCCAGAAACGGCTGCGCGTTGTCCACTTTGGGCAACGCGCAGCGGGCGCGCCTTTCCTTTTTCTGTCTTTTCCGTCGCCGGTTCAACAAACTAATCAATCAATTATCATCCATCATCCCATCAATCACTCCTATCACTTTAATACGGCCATCGCTGCCCCTTCCATCCTTCTTCGCTGGTCTCTGCAGGACAATGGCTTCTGACTCTGCCGATGAGGCAGACAAGTCGCGGTCCCGCAAGTCTAGTGTCCGCAAGCGTGCTCAGCTATGGATGACCAAGGGAGGTCTTGTCCGTGACGACTCCGACGACGAACTCGGCGAAGAAGACCACCCCTGGGAATGGATCTATGACCACAACGATGAGAACAACAATCATAGCGAACAGGCGACTGCAGAGGATACCCCCAAATCGAGCCGAAGACGCACCCCTCGCCCCAATGCCAAACGCCGCCGGACTATTGTCGGAGCTCGGATGGGCTCGTTCGAATGCGCCTTGGGCCAGGTGGTGCTTCTGAAATCCCCAGAACCAGGCAAAGATTGGATTGGCATTATAACAGAATTTCTGGAACAGGAGGACCCAGATGCTGAGGAGGAGGTCATCAAATCGGCAAACATCATGTGGTTTACTTCCCCGGATGAGTTCATGTCAACCCGGAACAAGCGACGAGCCGACGCTTTGCCCAACGAGCAATACCTGACTACCGATTTCAACGTCAATCCTCTTAGTTCGATCAGTGGCAAGGCTACGGTGATGTCCAAGGATGCATTCTACGCCAAGTACCCAGACGGTGTTCCTCCGAAGGGAAAAGAAGAACTCGCGGAGTTCAACAAGTGCATTGTTGTTCGGAGAGGAGTGAACCAGCTGCAAGGACGTTACACAGAAGAGTTTGTCTGGGAGGATGTGTACCGTGAGGATAGGGTCTTTGATCTCATTACCTTGATCAAGGATGGGTTGAAAGCAGCCAAAAAGCGCAAGCAAGTCGACGAAGATGTGAGTGATGTTCCTGATCGTGGTGGATTCACGGTGCTGACGTATATTGAAGTATGACGAGAAGAAGGATAACACCAAGGAAGAGGACGAATTTGTTCCCACCACACCTAGGAAAAGACAGAAAGTGGCTACAAATGCTACTCCCCAGTCGCGGCGTCAAAAGACCTTTACCACACCAGCTCATAAGAGGTAGGCACACAAGCCTCTCCACGCAAACATTGACTGACATATCCCGCAGAATCGTCGTCAAAAAGCCACTCGAGTTCACACCTCTTGGTACTCGTATTCTTTCACCCACTCATTTCGCCTCCCCGTACCGCCAGGCGCGCACGTTGCTGCACGTTTCCACCGTGCCTACATCGCTCCCATGCCGAAAGACAGAATTCGAAACTGTCTATAGTCATCTCAGTGCCGCGATCATGGAAGGGACAGGGGCCTGTATCTACATTTCAGGGACGCCGGGTACTGGAAAGACAGCAACGGTCCGCGAAGTCGTTGCGCAGTTGAATTCGGCCGTGTTGGCAGAAGAGATGGACGATTTCATCTTCGTTGAGATCAACGGCATGAAGGTCACCGATCCCCACCAAGCTTACTCAATGCTCTGGGGAGCGCTCAAGGGTGACAGGGTATCGCCTTCACATGCCCTCGACCTTCTTGAGCGGGAGTTCTCACATCCATCCCCACGACGAGTGTCTTGCGTCGTCCTTATGGACGAGCTCGATCAGCTTGTCACAAAGAATCAGTCCGTGATGTACAACTTCTTCAACTGGCCTGCACTTCGTCACTCTCGCCTTATTGTCTTGGCTGTCGCAAACACTATGGATCTTCCGGAACGTACACTCAGCAACAAGATTTCCAGTCGTCTGGGTCTCACCCGTATTACCTTTCCAGGATACAAGCACACAGATCTGATGGAAATCATCAGCACCCGCTTAGCCAACGTACCAGGAAACATCGTTGACGCAGATGCCATTCAATTCGCCAGTCGCAAGGTCGCCGCCGTTAGTGGTGACGCCCGACGTGCCTTGGACATCTGTCGACGCGCCGTCGAAATTGCCGAACAGGCTAGCGAAGCAGCAGCCCAAGACCCAGACACAGACAGACCCGACGCAGACGACACCGAATCCCTACCCCCAACACCCAGCAAGACCCCAGCCCGCAGAGAAAGATCTCTCAAACAATCCGCCCAGTCCTCCCCTCAAAAGAAACCCCCTACCAAACCACAAACAGTCGGCCGTGTCACCATCGCCACAATCAAACAGGCCATCCACGAAGCCACATCAACCCCTCTCCAACAGTCCCTCCGCTGTCTCCCCCTCGCCGCTAAGCTCTTCCTCGCCGCCATGCTAGCCCGCGTCCGACGCACCGGTATCTCCGAATCAGCATTCGGCGACGTTATCGACGAAGCCAAACGAATCGCCGACGCGGCCGTGGCCGTGGCCGGAGCAGCAGGCGCCGGCATCAAAGAGTTCCTATTAGCCGGAGGGACCGGCGCTCGCGTACGAGCTTTGGGCTACGCCGCGATGGAACTGACAAACTCGGGCGTTCTCGCCCTGGAGTACGGAGCCGGTGCTAAGGGACCGCTAGGTAGCGCTGCTATACCGCATCGCGGCGATCGCAGCGGAAAAGTACGACTACGTATCGCTGCAGAGGATGTCAAAGTTGCTTTCCGCGAGGATGACGAAGCCAAGGGGCTTGGGTTGGGCTTGGATCAGTGATTTACCACTCACTATATTCGGGACAATCTAGAAGATACATACTGTATAAGAACAATGATACCCATATGTTTTATTAATGCAAACAATACAAATACGAAGTACAACTATACTTAAAACCTTGACATCATTACACGCCATCTAAATTCTACAACTTACATCTCTCAGGCTATAAGAACAGACACCTCCAATCTCTAAGAAATTATATGATACATTCCTTTTATGAGCCCTTCCCAGGGAACCAAGCTGACATCCCAAATAACTAACGCTAAACTCCTAAGTGCATACACAGCATGACATAACATCAGAGCTAGAAAACTAAACCCCCTCAAAGTAGCTCCCCACACACACTCAAGATAAACAAACTGAAAACAAGACATCGGGGGTATTGATGATAATGAGCAGAAGCACACCACAAGCCACACTAACAAACTAATACCTCTGTCTGCCCAAGGTCGGGGCCCAAGTAACAGGGTGAGATTCCTCCGTGGCCTCATCATCCGGCTTCCAGATCTTAATGGTCTTATCAGCCTCACCAGTAATAAGACGCAGACCAGTACGATCAAAGGTCGAAGCCATAATACCCGCCTCGGCTTCCAGAGAACCCGGCTGAGCGACAGCATCCATGCTCTGGAACTGGTACCCGGTCTTCCAATCCCAGAAGCACATGGAGCCGTTATCACCGCCGGAGAACATGACGTTGTCTTCGTTGACGGAGAGTGTGTTGATGATGGCGTTCTGACCGTCGAAATTCTGCATGAAGTCGCCCTCCGGGCACTTCCATTGCTTGATGGAGCCGGTGCTGGCGGAGGCGAAGGTGAATTCGCGGGGGTGGGTGGCCAGAGCGCGCACGCCCTTCTTGTGGTGCGTGAGCACGCCCATGGATTTACCGGCTGCCAGGTCCCATAGGCGGACGGTGGCGTCAAGGGAGCCCGAGATGATTTGCGGGTCGGCTTCCTGGCACTTGACGTCGGCGACGGTGCCCTTGTGGCCGGCGAGGACGTGGACGTTGGCGCGGGTGCGCATGTCCCAGACGCGGGCTACGCCGTCGCGACCGCCTGTGACGAGGAGGTCCAGACGGGGGTGCAGGTCGAGGGTGTAGACGCCGCTGAGATGGCCGTGGTAGTGACGGATGACTTTGTTGGTTTCGAGATCCCAGCACTTGACCATTTTGTCTTCACCGCAGGAGAAGAGGTAGGGATGTCGGGGGGACACGGCCAGGCCGCGGACGGTGGAAATGTGACCCGTGAGAGTGAGACGGAGGGCACCTGTAGCCAGGTTCCAGATCTTGATGGTTCGGTCGCCCGCACCACTAGCAAACCACTCGTTGTTCGGCTCAACGGCCAAACTGCGCACCCAACCCAAGTGGCCGGAGATGACCCGCATGAGCTTCCATGGCGGGTGCCAGTCGGGTCGTTGCTGTTTCGTCGCCGAGGGACGTTGGATGAGACTCTTGGGAGCGTTTTCACCGCCGACGCCGCCGGCTGCTGGGCCGGGGGCCTTCTTGACGAGGGCCATGGACGCGCCGCTGCCGTCCACGGCGGCTTGGGGCTGTGGTTGGATCTTGGGGCGTTTGGCGCGTCCAGCGGCCACGGCTTTGGCTTGCTTCTCGGCGAGTGCTGGTGGGAGTTCCTTCACATCTTCGTATTCTGCTTTGCGCCGGTAGGACGTGGCGATGGAGCCATTGGCGACGGAAGGGGTGACCATTAGGTAGTCGGAGCCGAAGAGCTCGGCTGTCCGCTTAGCGGAGAGGCGCACTGCCTCGTCTGGGGTGGTAGAGGGAACGACGTCCATGGTGGTGGATTAAAGGGTAGTCCGACGCTCGGTATGGAGGTTTGAGCTGCTTGCTGCGGAGACGTGTCGTTGGCGCGTCCTGAGCCCCGGGGCGGGGGTGTATTGGGCTTTTAGACGAGATCAGAGGTGCGCCTCATGCGGAGTGTACTAAGCACCGGGATGACAGGAAAAAGCGCGGCGCAGGCGTGGAATTGGCGATGATTGAAAGTGAAGGCGAAGTTGGAATCAGCGGCAGCGAAGCTCGACTTGATTTTCGGCGGGCGGCGAGCTATTGTCTGCCTGAGGCATCAGAGTTACCTTCAGGTGTCGAGGTCCAGATGCCGACCCCGCCGATTGATTAGTTGATGCTATTCGACCCCCAAGTTATTCTGCCACATCCATCATGAATACCAGTCAGGAAGCTAAGTTTCCTCTTCACGAGGCTGCCCGGGAGGGCAAAAGTATGAAGCATCTAATCCGATCATTGTGATAAGCTCTGACAGATCTACTCCAGCTCAAATCGCCGAATCTCTCCTCAGTGTACGTTGCTACTCCGAAGCTGCCCCGCACCGCCATGAGGGAGCTCTATACAACCTCACCGATAACTCGAAAACCTCCCGCTGATGGAATCTAGGCCAATCCCAAGCTAGCGAACGTCAAAGATGACGATGATCGTCTCCCCATCCACTGGGCAGTAGCATACAACCGTCTCCCGATCGTGGAGCTACTGATATCCAGCAAGCACTTTGATCCCGATGTCGAGGTTCGTTCGTCATTACCTCAACGATTCGAAATTATACCACGTCAGAGTCCTCACTAACATATCCACAGGATGGCTCCGGCTGGACGCCTCTCATGATTGCATCCAGCTTGAAGAACGCTGAAGGCGATCCCATCATCGACCTACTGCTTAAGAAAGGCGCAGACGTAAGCACGAAGAGCGTCTCGGGCCAGGTACATACCCTCCCTTTGTCCTAGGCCACCTTTTCCCTGACACGATATCTGTAACTACAACAGAACGCCCTCCACTTCGCAACCTCCAAAGCCAACCTCTCCACCGTCCGCACCCTCATCGCCAACAAGTGCAGCGCGAGAGTAAAGGATAGGCGCGGACAACTCCCTCTGCACCGGGCAGCGGCGATTGGATCGTCGCCCATCATCAAGATTCTCCTGGAGGATGGGAAAAGTCCTGTGAACGCGACGGATGTCGACGGATTGACAGCTTTACATCACGCAGTGTCAGAGGGCCACGGCGATGCGGCGATTACGTTGCTCAAGGCTGGTGCCGAGGCGGATAAGAGAGATTCGAATGGCGTTTTGGCCATTGATATGGCTCCGGATAGTAAGGTTAGTCTATTTACGTTTGCTTTGTGGTCCCCTTGAGGTGGGAGTGTGTGCTGATAGTGGTGTGTCTATAGGTACGGAGCTATATCCTGCAAACGGCGGAGAGGGAGGGAATCGAGTTATAGTTTATCCATATGTTGGATAGGGAAGGACAGATGGATGGAAAATATAAGAAGGATTAAATACCCGGAGTCTATCTTTGATACTCTCAGGCTCATCGAACAACTGTTTCCATATTATTTTTTTGTCTTAGTAATTAACGGATTCATGACATCTTCTCTTTCAAGGCATGTCTCACATCACATCGTCTAAATCGGGGTCTAGCCCGAACGAACAAATCTATGTACAGGACAGCAATAACAAGTCTACTACGCACAAACACCTCTTATTTCATGGTGCTGTCAACCAACTCCCGATAGATCTTCTTGAGATCTGCAATATCGGCCTGAAGCTCTTCCACCTGTTCGCTCTTCTCGCCGAGCATCTCGAGCGTCGTCTGGTATCTCTGGTCAAGATCCTCGAGCCGCTTCTCAAGATCTTGCACGCGAGCGTCGGAGGATCGCTTCTCCTCCGCCTCGCGCATCAAGTCGACGATTTGCTGGCGCGCTTCATCACGTTGTGTGGTGATTCGAGCGAGTTCGTCTTTCGATGCTGCACGTTCGCTCTCGAGGCGACGGACCGTGGCGCTCATGCGCTCAACAAGCTGTACGGACGGTCCCGCTCCTACAGTGGACTCGGAGATAATGTCGTTGATGCCACGCGAATGCTGTGTCGCTGCTCCGCCATAGGCCGAGGGCGTCCCGGAGCGGCTGAAGTACTCGTCGGGCTCGAAAGTGATCGACGGGGTTTCTGGGACAGCATGGTGAGAGGAGCCGTTGGTTTGAGGTGGGGAGAGCATCAAGGTCGAGTTGGGGAAAGAGTTCTGGCGAGTGGGAGTGCCAACTTCTGGCGAAGTTGGTAACGTCGAGGAACGACGGCTCGTGGGCCGGAAGTCTAGTGAGACAGGCTCCAAAGCACTTGGTCTCCGGCTGTAGGCAACGGGGGACTGCGTCCGCGGCTGCTGGAGCAAGGCGGGCGGCGAAATGGTCTGCTCGCGCCATTTGGTTCGCTCCTCCTCTAGTTTCTGCGACCAAGTAGCATCGAGCACCTTCTTTTGTTCAACGAGATCCTTTCGAGCCAGGGCCAAGTCATCCGCCGAATTCTTCAGCTTCTGCTCTGCCTTCTGTAGTTCTTGCATGCGCTCTTCGAGCTTTCCTTCGAGGTCATGCTCGGCCTCCTTGGCATTCTCCAGGTCTTCTTCAAGTCTTTTCGCTTTGAGGTTCTGTGCACAGTTAGTCTATCTGGTGCCATTGCATCAGGAATTTAGGGCGTCTTACCACTTCGCGGATCTTCCGCCGCATCTCGCCCTCCCGTCGTGCAACCTCATCCCGCTCCTTCTCGACGTTCGCCAACCGTGCCAGTAGTGAGCCTTCCAAGGTCTGCCAATTCTCACTGGCGACAGCATACTGTGTTTGGAGGGTTTCGATCTGACGCAGGAGTTTGGCTTGCGCATCGCCAGTAACACCGGAAGACGCCTCTTCTGCCCGAGACCGCAGGGACTCCATCTTACTTTCCAGCGCCAACTGCTCCCCCTTCAACTCGATCTCCAACATACGCGCTCGCTCCTTTTCCTGCTCAATGGTTCCCTTCAAATCGCTGATCTCTCTACTCAGCTTCTCTTCACTGATTTCACGTTCGATCTTGGCGCTTGCTAGATCCTCCTCCAACTGGGTGGCGCGACGCTTCTCCTGCTCGAGTGCCTCGGATTGAGCCTTGGCCTCTGCAGCTTCCGCTCTGGACACAGCTCGAGCGAGCTGTCCTTTCAATTCCTGTACAGTCTGGCTGAGTGCGTTACGCTCTGCCGTCGCGGCTTCCAGGTCCCGAGACACCTTCGTTTGCGCTGAGAGCGAGTCATTTGCTCTCTTCTCGGCCGCCTCGGCCCGTTTGGCTCTGATTTCTGCATTGGCAAGATCCCGTTCCAGTTTCTCAGTCTTCTTCTTTGACTCAGTCTGCGCCTTTGCATTCTCTGCCAATTGCTGCCTCAGTTTCTTGATCGCGGTTCTGTGGTCCATTTCCGACTTGGATAGCTTTTGTCCTTCCTCGAGCAACAGTGCGATCTTTTCGTCCTTTTCTCGAAGCTGCTTTTCGACGCTCCCTGGCTCTGCTGTAGCCGCTGCCTTCTTGGCAGATTCCGCGGCTTCCTTGGCCAAATACTTTAACTTGGACTGCAGCGCATCGATCCGTTCGATATATCCGTACATTTCCTCCTGCCACTGAGACTCTGCGGCTTTGTGGTCCGCCTGTAACTGCGCAATCGACTTGTCTTGGTCACTGGAAGTTCTGGGGCTGTCCGTAGGAGTATCCGTCATTGGCAGGGAAATCGTAGGCGCGGGAGGTTGATCAGGCTCGGGAGATGATGCGCTGTCTTTTTGTGTGGTATCATGTGTCGCATTAGAGGTGTCTGCTGAAGCAGCCTCCTCAACATTAGAAGTTCCGGTCTGCGAAACGAGGTCCTCAGAGCGGCGTGACGAGACGGCTGAGTCCTGGCTCATCCGAGGAGCCTCTGTGGCTGCAATTACTTCCTGCCGACTGGAATTTCGAGAATGTCTCCCTGTACTTCCATTCTGGGAATCAAGACTAGCGTCAATATCCATGCTTGAGCGTCCACCGTTGCTGGGAACCGGACTGCTGACGGGGGAGGGGGCATGGCTGGAAGGCTGCGAGGAAGTATTGCCCGCGGTATTCGACTTGACCACGGCACGAGCCAGGCGTTCCTGAAGGCGATCATTCTTTCGCGCATTCGACGAACTGCGTGATATACCTGGTAGCCATTAGCAATCTGGCATAGTACAACCGCCCGAATCGATCAAGTGTCTCCGTACTGCTTGTCTGCTCATTTGGTTTGGGCTTTGTAGTCGCATGCTTGGCCTGTGATTGTTTCTGGTCCTCCTCTTCGGCCAGGATCAAGTCCAGCCTGGACTCCACGCCGGCAACGGCTTGCTGCAGGAAAGAGCCCACTTTCCATTTTGGCTTGGAGCCTTGGGAACCCTGCGACATTGTGACGGCTGTGAATATTGTTGCTCCTGCAAACTAGGATACCTAGCAGCAAGAATGCGCCAATTCAATCATGGAAAGCGAGGAGTTTAGACGATGATGCGATCGGATGCCGGCTTGTCGTCACTTGGAGGAAGACGAGGCCGTAGTACTAAATCGGACGCGGGAAGCAACCACAAACGAGAGACTAGCTTAGAGAAGCACAAATTCCGAGGAAGTGGAAGAGCAATGAGATCCCAGGAGAGTGAGTTGTCCGACCGGAGTCGGAGAGGAGGAGGGGCCGTTCGGTCGATACGTTGCAGCTTGCGTGGACTCCGAAGAAGCGATGAAGCGCAACCGGCTTGGCGGCCGGGGATGGAGAGACACTAGACAGAGTGACGGCGAACGTGATTCGTATCATCATCGGCTCCTCCCTGGCCGTTCCCCAACCTCCTCCTCTTTCACCACCTCCGCAACCCCCCGTCTCTCTCTCCCCTCAATCCAGTTTTCTCCGTTCCGGTTGGCTCCTGAATTTCCTTCCCCCCCTCCTCCGGAATCACCATGTCGTCGCTACCCCTGGAGCCACCCACCTACCTCAGTTCGCTACAGAACAACATCCGAGCTCGTCCCATCCCATGGGAGGGAGCTGTCCGAGCGGGAAACATCACCGATGACCACCTGAAGAAGATCAAGGCGGTGGATAAGGTTCGCAAGGAGCAGCGGCGTCAGACTGTCGAGGGGGATCTGGCTGGTTATGTTGGTCTACTCTCTGGTGGCTCTGAAGGGAAGAGCGTGCTGGACTCCGCCTCCAGGAGAACCGATATTGTGCAATACATTCTCGTGCTGGCCGCGGATTTGATCAACGGTACGGGCACCTTCTCCCTGGTCGGATTGCGATAGTGATGATGGAAACGAATACTGATCATACTGTTTCTCTAGATGTCCCCTCCCTCTCGACCGCCCTGGTCGCGCATCCCGACCCTTACAAGCCATTCCTTCCCCTCTTGCGTCATTCCACCAACCCCGAAGACCCGATCCCTCTGCTCACCTCCACCTTCTTGACCAACCTTGTCTCCGTCAGCCTGGGCACGTCATCTAAGCCAGCTGCGCGGGATGACGAAGCGCTTCCGCAGTTGTACACCTATCTCTCTACCCTGACCCAGAACCAAGACAGCGGGCTGCAAGATATCGGGGTTCAGGAGCTGTCCGCATTGCTACGAACCTCGAGGTCTCGCGAGATCTTCTGGAAGCAGAGGCAGCAGACCGTTGAGCCGTTGATTGAGATCCTGCGTGCAGCTACGGGGGCTAAAGATAGCAGCTCCAGCACCTTGGCTGGCAGCTCGCGCGCGATCGAGCCTGGTCTTGCCGGTGGTGTTGGTCTCCAGCTGTTGTACCGGGTCTTACTTGTCCTCTGGCAGCTCAGTTTCGAAGGGGAGTTGATTGGTGATGATCTGCAAGCGTATGTGACCTGACTCCCAACGGGGGTAAGGTAGAATGAGGCTGACCATGGATATAGGGACTACGAGTTTGTGCAGCTGTACACACACCTCCTACGCCTTTCCCCGAAGGAGAAGACCACGCGACTCCTCCTTGCGACCCTCAACAACCTCCTGTCTAGTAACCGCACCACCCTGCTCCCGGTCGCAGTCTTTGTCCGCCTCCCTGCCCTCCTGACGAACCTCGCCGGCCGCCATCTGACCGACCCCGATCTCTTGGAGGACCTCACATTCCTGTCCGAAATGCTGGATGAGTACACCAAGACACAGACGACGTTCGATCAGTACGCAGCTGAGCTGCAGTCCGGCCACCTCCGGTGGTCCCCGCCCCACCGCAACCCTACCTTCTGGAAGGACAATGCCCGTCGCATCCTCGACGAGAACAGCGGTGCACTGCCGAAGAAGCTGTCCGAAATCATCTCCAAGAGCTGGGATAACGACAAGCAGGTGCTGGCGATTGCCTGTAACGACGTGGGTCACTTGGTGAAGGAACTGCCCGAACGGCGGGCACAGCTGGAAAAGCTGGGTCTGAAGACCCGTGTCATGGAGCTGATGACGGACAAAGACGAATCAGTGCGGTGGGAGAGTTTGCGGGCGGTTGGCGAGTGGCTGCGCTACACGTTCGATGACTAGAGCTCAATGGAGCAGTGTGACGTGATGTGACAT